GGTGAAAGGTCTATTAACAATCTCCGTTATGCAGATGACACAACCCTGCTTGCTGAAACTGAGGAGGACCTGAAGCGCTTGCTGCAGAAGGTCAGGGACTGCAGCCTCCTATATGGATTGAAACTCAACATCAAGATAGAAGGAGAATTGATGGCTTTGAATTATGGTACTAGAGAATAGTATTTAATATACCATGAATTGCTACAGGTTCATCCTAGAGAGGGTGAAATCAAGTTCCTCCTCAGAGGCGAGGATTCTGAAGGGCCCTGTGACATACTTTGGACATGTGGCAAGGAATGACCAGTCCATGGAAAGGGACATCATTCTTGGGAGGGTGGAGCAAGAGAGGAAAGCCATCAGTGAGATGGATTGATTCAGTGACTTGGGTAATGAGGGTAGATGTGTCAGAGACAGTAAGGTTGGCTTAGGATACCACAGGGTTCAGAGCATTTGTACATAAGGTCACTGTGAGTTGCAAGCAACTTGACGGCACATAACAACAATATCCCTTTATTATTATGGTTTCACATTGCAAGTTACTGTGAATTCTTTATAGATACATAGCATGTTATTAAGTAAAATCTTTAACATTTCATATATAGATTTTTTTTTCTTTCTAAAATTAGTTTCCTTGTTTTTAAAATAATTCATTTTAATGTTAATCAACAAACATGGAGTTCTCTACTTAATATGAAAAGATAACTTTCTTCTCTCAAGTTAAAACTATGGTGTTACCTTATACATTCAGTCCTCACTGCCTCCTTTTCCTCATGAGCAGAGGAAAGTGTGAGTGTGTGTATGTGGGGGGCGGGGGGTCCATGTGCGCTGCTGTGTAAAAGCTGCTCTGTCTACCAACCCCGTTTATAAAGATTACAGAGTTCCTCTCTCCCCTTTGTCTGCTCTGACGTGAATATTCTAAAGAGAAGCTAAAACACCTACTCTCTTACCTCAGCTTATGTTTAGCATAGTACTGAAGATTGTTCTAGTTACAACATTAAGATTATGCCAAACATTAGGTTTTGCTGTGGTTAGGAGCTTGGTGGCACAGTGATGAAGCACTTGCCAGTGGATGACTTGAACCCGCTAGCCACTGTATGGGCTAAAGACGGGGCAGTGTCCTTCCATACAGTTACTGCCTTCACAACCCCATGGACAGTTCTACGCTCTCATACAGAGTCACAGAATTGGAATGGACTCAGTAACCATGGTTTGGATTTTTTCGAAAAAGGTACAGTTGGAACCATGGATGTCAACAGGACATGAAAAAGTTTTTATAGGGATTATATATGTGTTTTAAGATAGTTTATTAATCAATATTATATCATTTCAGAAACCAACTGATTATAATAAAAAGTTTGAGGAAGAGAATTGGGAGATAACTTTTGAGGTAAGTTTCAACCCAAATATTTTTAAAACTTTAAACACCTCGTAAGTGTGAAAGAGCTGATAAAGGAGCGTGGTTCAAATCCACCAGAGGCTCTGCTGGAGAAAGAGGGGCAGTGTCCTCCTGTGGCAGTCAGATCCGACTCAGCTGTACACAACACGGGGTCGGAAACAGCTGATAAAACATCAGAAGCATTTTGGTGGTGATTTTTAAATTTCACTTTTACTGAGATGTGTTTTAATAGCATAAAATAACTTTTCCGGGAGCTGTGGTGGCCCTAGTGGCAAGAAACTGCACTGCAAACCCAGAGTTATGCGGTTTAAATCCACCAGAAGCTCTGCTAGAGGAGGGGGCAATCTCCTCCTGTACCAGTCAGATCCAATTTGACAGTCCACACAAAAAAATAGCATAACATAACTTTCAAAGTACAACCATTGTCCCTGTATAATTACAGAACATTTTCATCACCCCAAAAAGAACATGCATCATTAGCATTCACTCTCCATCACCCTCCTTCAGGCAGCCACTGTTCTGCTTTTAACTGTTTATAATGAAATCATTCAGGGCATCACTTTTGTGACTGACCGCTTTGACTCAGCTTTATTTTCACAGTTCATTCATGTTGTATAGTATATGCCAGTACTTCAGTACTTTTTAACTGATGAGTAAACCATGGTATAATATACCACATTTTATTGATTTTTCTCATTCATGGATAAATATTTGGGTTATTTTCTTTTTTATGACCAATACGAATATGACTTCTGTAAAAATTCATATACAAATCTTCACATGAACATATGTTTTAATCCCTGTTGGTTTATACCTCAGAGTGGAATAACTTGAGTTATGTGGTAACTGAGGAAACAGACTACTTTCCAAAGTGGCTACACCATTACCACTAGGAATGTACCAGGATCCCAGTTTTTCCACATTCTTAAAAAACTCACTTTCTGTTTTGTTGATTATAGCCATCCTAAAGTTAACTCTTGTAGTTTTGATTTCCCTAATGCTGTGGTGTTTACTGTTTTTCATGTGTTACTGGTCACCTTTGTTGAAAAAGACTGTTTCATTCCTTTACCTATTTTTGTTGGATTATTTTTCTTCTTACTGAGTTGTAAGAGTTCTTTATGCATTCTGAATGCAAATTCTTTATCAGAAACATGGTTTACAAACATTTTGTTCCATTCTGTGGACCATCTTTCCACTTTAACTTTTTGTGCATTGAAGCATATGTGGTTTTCATTTTTATAAAGTCCAATTTATGCATGTTTCTTTTGTCACTTAAACTTTTCATGTAGAATCTAAGAGTTTTGATAGATTGTCACTTATGCTTTTCATGTAGGATATAAGAGTTTTGCTAGATAAAAGCTTTCTGTCTTATATGTAATACTTCTTCCTGTGATGACAAAACATGTTTTAAAGTTGCTTATGTGTAACAAATTGTTCAGTAGTAAGTGCCACTTTGAGGTGAGAATTATTTGCTAGGTTTATTTCTAGGATATTTTGTGGTTTGTTCTTTTTGCTTTCTTGTTACCAGTTTGGAATGATTAAAGATCAAAGAGTACATCCTTCAATATGGATTACATCTCAACATCAAGAAACAAAAATTTTCACCACTGGGTCAGTAGACAACAACATGATAGATGGCGAAATAAACTGTCTGTGACTCCATCTCATTTGGGTCAATAGTCAGCACACTTGGTACCAGCAGTCAGGAGATCAGGAGACATATGATACTACTGATATGAGAGAACCCGAATAGGAAGATGCAAATATAAGAGATATAAGATATAAAAAGATATGAGATAAAATATATTACGAATTACCAGGGGAAGAGAAAAATGAGATGATCTTGCTCAAATAAAAACTATTACTTTTGTTTCTGCTAGAGGCAATGGTTGCAAAACATGGTAATTAATGTTACTAATTTTGTACACTTAGAAATGGTTAAAACTGGGGGGAGGGGAGGGCTGGGCAGGGAGAGAAGTGCAGCAATGAATGAATGGAAATCCAAAATCTCTGTAAATACTCATTAAAATTATTTAAAAAAATAAAGCTTAAAAAAATAATGAAAAGGTAAAAAAAGAGAAATGGTTAAAATGGCAGCTTTTTTGTTACTGATATTTCACACTGATTTTCATTGCCCCTATTTAGCGTCTCCAACACCCTAGTCACATGCAGCAGCAGCATATCACTGTTGACAATTTGTTGCCCATCTTCCAAATAAAAACAACGATTCTCATCACTGGGCTGGTTGAGTTTAGGGCAACTCAACGGCACATAACAATATACATAAATATAAGGAGCCTGGTAGCCGCCAGCTGCTCGGCAGGAAAAGGATGGGCAGTCTCTTCACGTGCAATTAGCTGCCTCTGAAAACCCGCCAGAGGGTCACCTACGAGTCAGTTCAGATTCACAACAAGAAGTAGCACAGTAGTGAAATGCTAACCTCGTAACCAGAAGGTTGGCAGCTTGAGCCCACCAATGGCTTCAAGGAAGGAAGGATCTGGCATTTTGCTCTCCCGTGAAACTCAGTCGAGCAGTTCTCCTCAGTCATGATAGGTTCGCTGTCGGAATAAAATCTGTGGTACAGACACCAACGCATCTATGTCTGCGCACACACATGTGTAAATAGATATAGTTATTCTCTTTATCTTCTTTCAGATTGGAAGATGAGAGAATACAAACGCTTGTTTAGTCATCACATTCTGATCCTTCTGTAAAATAATTTTGTAATACTCAGTATTTCAGAGAGGTACCCTGCACCATGGTTAATTTTTATAATGCACAGTATTACTGTAATTGTTATTCTGAAATTTGAAAATTTTCATTGTGAATCTGTTTGTGATATTTTAGGCACTGCTGTCGTCTGAAAGGGAGACTCCGATTTTACCACCGTATTTGTCTTTATCGTTGCCTCCCCCGGAGGAGCTCTATGCTGTTCACGTGAAGCACGTTGTCTCACCTAATGAAGTATGTAATCTGAATACTTAGTTGGTAGTTAAAATTACAAGCAGTCTTAAACTCTAGACTTGCCTCTCTTGTCCATCTTCATGACTTTAAATGATTGAAAATCAGTGACTTTTGGGTTGTCCCACCATATAACTTGCTTTCTAGGTACTTGCACTGAATAAGGCATCTGTTGTTTTCATCAGGTGTCTCCCACGGGGATGTTGCTTTAATTGTTAGATGTGTAGATTTTTACCAGCTGGAACTGTTCATGCTTATGTAATCTTAAGGTTTCGCTCCCCTCCCTACCCGACACATTGAACTGTAGATGCCATTTACACGGCCGTTTTCTCATACCACTTACCACCTTCTGATACTGTGTGCCACTAGACTGTCACTTCATGAAGATGTTCATCCCCAGAACCTAGACTGACTAGCACCTAATACGTGTAGTAAGCGGGAAGCACTGGTGGGGTAGGTCGTTGGTTGTCAGACTGCTCACTGAAGAACCAGCAGTTCGACTCTACCAGGAGCTCCAGGAGACAAACATGGACAGTCTCCTCCCATAAATCCTTCCAGAAACCCTGTGGAAGGTCACCTTATGCTGGAATCAGCTCAGTGGCAGCTGGTGTGCATAGGCGTTGCTAGGGACCACTGAGTAGAATATGCCCCACTGTGAATGGCGTGGCTGAAGCTTGCCCCTTCCTGCCCCCTCCTCACTCTTCATGAGATGCTCAAGCCCATTATTGAAGCTCAACATCAAGAAGACAAAGATTCTCACCACTGGGCCAACTGGCAGCATTATGATAGACAGTGAAGAGATTGAGATTGTTGACAGCTTCAGTTTGCTTGGCTTCCCAATCAGCATTCTTGGTACCAGCAGCCAGGAAATCAAGGGATGAATTGCATTGGGAAAGTCAGCTGTCACAGACCTCTTCAGAGTACTGAAGAGCAACGACATCAGTCTGGAGATTAAGGTGTGCCTGATTCAAGCCATAATCTTCACAATTGCTTTCTGTGCGTCAGAGAGCTGGACAATGACTAGGGATGATACAGAATTGATGCCTTTGAGCTGTGGTGCTGGAGAACAGTATTGAATACACATGGACTGCTAGGAGAACAAACAGGCTCGTCCTAGAGAGGATGTTGCCAGGCTGCTCATTGGAGACAAGGATTCTGAAGCTTCGTCTAACATACTTTGGGCATGTTGCCAGGAGAGACCAGTCCTTAGAGACAGACATCATGCTTGGGAGGGTGGAGGGACAGAGAAAGAGGGAGACCATCAATGAGATGGATTGATACAGTGACTGGGGTTGGGGGGAGGTGTCAGGGACAGTAAAGCTGGCTCAGGATAGAGCAGGATTCAGGGCTGTTGTGCGTAGGGTTGCCATGAGTTGCAAGCGACTCCACAACACAACAATAACAACATTATTCGGCACAATAGATAACTCCAAATTTAGCAGCTTAAAGTAAATGAGGGTCAGGAGTCCAGGAGCAGCATAATTAAATACTTTAGTGTGGAATCAGTGTTGGCAAGAGTTACTGAACCAACTTGTAAGAAGATTTATTGGCATGGCTGTTGGCCAGACTCAGTTCCTCCCTGCTCATAGACTGTGTACTTTGCTGACTGAACAGTCTGAGAGGGTGCCTCAGAAGTACAGGCCACGTTTTCTCTCCTATCTCTTCTCTGCAGTAGCATACCTCTGTCATATTCCTTTGGTCAAAGAGATTAACGGTGCAATGTGGGAAGGAAACTGTGATACAAACATCAAGAGGGGAAGACCACTGGGAACCATTGTTGGAGGCTCTGCCATATTGATTTTGTCTGTATGAACGAGTATGAGAAATCACAAGATTTGCGTTTTCCTTCCTTTCCTCCATGTAGGTCTATATTTGCCTTGACTGTGTGGACACTTCTAATCAGTTTAACCAGCAGAGAGACACAGATGACAGTGGAGTCAGCTGGGGGTCGGAATCTGGGAGCCTCGATGAAGCACTCCAAAGGTTTAATGAAAATGTGGAGACAGCTCTTCCTCTGACAGATTTTAGGACAGGTACACTTTCTTTTTTTAAGTGACTTATTATCATGTTAACTGATAGTTTTATCATACTTTACATTCATAGTCTCTCTAAATGCTCACAACACCCTGTAGGTGATGTCTTCCTCATATGTGGGTTAAGTAAAGTGAACTGAGAAACTGCTGGCTTAGGGCCCTCGAACTCACCACACAAGCATGCTGCATTGGAGATCTGAATGCAAAAACATTCTTTTCTAAAGTTAATGTTTTGCTAGTAGCTCAAATTTTCAGAGTGGTAATTCAAACCTTAGTAATGGTAAATTTCCTTAGAAGCCATCTAAATGGATCATTTTAGGGTTTTTATGGGGAGGGGGTGTGGGTGAGCCAGTTCAAATGATATCCTATTCAGTATAATTTTTTTTTTGTTCCAATTCATTTCATGTATTTCTACTTAAAATATATCTAGTTGATTGTGTGTTTCTTGTCGAAATAGAGTGGCTTCCATACGTTTTTATCCATGTTATAGAGTCCCATTTAGTCTTGACCTTTTGTATACATTGAAGGATATTTTAGCAAAGGGAAAAGGGCTTACTGTCTTACCTGAGGGTTCTTAGTGTGATTGTAATTGGTTGTCGCCTCCTCCTGGCCGATTAAAAGCACTTACTGTTCCCTCTTCCAGAGTCCTTCCCCCTAGAGTGTCTTCCAGTAGCCTAGGCTCTGCTGAGCGCTTACCTCCTTATGGAAGGTCTCTCAGGTCTCCCCCTCGCCTTGTTTTCTCTGTCCCTCTTACTTTCCTTTCTAACTGGCATTATAGTCAGAGGCTCTGTATGTGGCTTTCAGTCCCCAGCAGTTAGAAGGGCACCTAGCACAAGGAGATCCTCACCAGTATGTTGAATGAATGAAAGAAGAAACTTACTATGAATGAGTGTGGGTTTTGTAAATTTAGTTTTTGGAAGTTAAAAGCCTGAATAAAACAATTCCGTCTTCACTTTGTTGTTGTTGTTGCTATGTGCCTTCGAGTCGCTTGCACTTACTTTGTTAAGTAAATTTATTGTTTACATTCTATTTTGAAGAGATAAACTATAGTCATGTCTTAAAGCTGCAAATAATGAAAAGTGGAAGGTATGCATTCAGATAGTTACTATGCAGAATAGCTCTACTAAATGAAATTTTCTACTCTGGATGATGACCTCTCTATATGGAAAACATTCATGTTTATACTTCTAATAAAAATAATTGTAAATGAAACCATTTCTACAGTAAAGTCACAGTTTTTAAATGCTGCTTATTACTGTGTTTTTTGTGGACATTATATAGAATATGATGGCATGAGTATAAGGAGAGGTGGAAGTAGTGTGATGTCAGAAACACACATAACCCATCTACTCAGAAATTTACAAGTGAAGCAGAGTACATACTCGTTTTCCTGCAGCTTGACGGAAGCCTGCCACTCATTAGAAAATGTGTTCTATGTTTTTGCCAAGTATTATGTTAATACGACTGTAAGTCGGTAGTCAGGAAACCAGTGGCTTAGCAGAGCCTTGCCAGTCGAGTATGAATGAGGCAGCTAGTCATAAAGGTGTGTGCATAATGTCATAGAATCAGGAGGAAGACCAGACTTTATAAAAGGTCTTGTTAGAGCCGAGATTTGAGAGAATAGCTGTGTCTCATACAGAAAAGGGCTGCCTGAGCAGGATATTCTAGAAGGCAGAAGAGTCTATGTAGTTGAAATTGGAGGCAACTATGCAGGACCTTGTAAATTGCAGAGCTAAGGATTTTATATTCTAGGTGGTTAAGAGTTCAACAGGAGAGTAATGTCAGTTAATTTATTTATAATTTATAATTCTTGTGACCTAACAGAATGAGTTAGACAAAATTGAATTCAGGAAGAAGGGAACTCATTTCATTACCCTTTTCAAAAAGATGATGACTTAGACTAAAAGATCGGCAGGTTTTTAAAGATAGCAGGTCTAAGCCATGACTGGTAGAAGAAATAGGAACTCAGAGAAGGGGAATGAAGAAGTGTTTCTCTTCGCTTAATTCTTAAGAATTAACTTAAAAAGAAGCAAGGTTTATGAAACTTAATTCTGCATGTTAGGTAGCTGAGCTTCCCGAATTTTTAAAGAAAGAAAAAGTTAATATTTTTCCCTCCCATTTTCCTGCACCCAGATATGCCTTGTCTTGCAGAATACAGTGACGGCTTATGGTACAGAGCAAAGATTGTGGCCATTAAAGAATTTAATCCTCTGGCTGTTTTGGTCCAGTTTGTTGATTATGGATCAACGGAAAAGCTAACAACAAACAGGTAAAGAAAAAGAACATTCTTTCACTTGAATGAGGATGATTCTTAGTTTTCATTTATTGTTTAATCATTCTTTTTTCCTTTTCCTAAAAGAATTTAAAATTATTTTAATCTATTTGTATTAGGGATTTGTCAAGATCTAAGGAAATTTTTAATGAAGATACAGTTTATATGTCACAAATCGCCTTTTCTTAAAAAGAGTACAATTCATTGTTTTTTCTTATATTAATAAATGGTCCAGTCATCGCCACATCTTCATCCCTGCAAACCACATAGATTGAGCTTTGCCATGCTTTTTTATTATAAACTCACAAGGTTCATCCACACTGTAGCTTGTGTTAGCACTTCATTTCTTTTCATTGTGGGATAATACTCAAAAGAGAGGATGTATGATATTTGATCTGTTCCTCATTTGGTGAATATTTGGGTTGTCTCCATTTTTACTATTTGTGAATAATGTCATTATGAACACACAAGCACCAGTATTTGAGAAAATGTTTTTGTTTTTCTTGGGAGCATATCTATAAGTGGCATGCTGAGTCATAACACTAACTCTTATATTTAGTATTTTGAAGACCTGTCGTACTGGTTTTCCAAAATACCTTTACCATTTTCTATATCCACCAGCAGTATTTCAAGGTTCCAATTTCTCACATCCTCCTCAAAAGGTTTTTTCCCCTCGTATTGATTATAGCCATTCTGGTAGGTGTCTGAACAAGAGCAAGAGAACACTGCATGGTTTGAAATCAAGAAAGGTGTGCTTGGGGGCTGTAGCCTTTGTCTATATTTATTTTATCTGTACATTGAGCAAATCATTTGAGAAACTGGACTTTATGAAGAAGAATGTGCCATCAGGATTGGAGGAAGATTCATCCTAAAAGCAGGGAAGAAAGACACACTTGCCATACTGGCTGCAAAAGATCCAAGACTACACTTCCAATATGGATTACATCGTCACATCACAAAGACAAAAATTATTCACCAGTGGGCTAATAGGCTACATCGTGATAGATGGAGAAAAGTTTGAAATTTCACCTTACATGACTCCAAAATCAACACCGTGTTACCAGCCGTCAAGAAATCAAAAGATGGATTGCTACTAGGTAAGTCTGTCAAGGACCTCTTCAAAATACGAAGGAGCAATGATGTCAGTCTCAAGACTAGGGTGCACTTGATTCAGACCGTGGTCGTCTTCAGTCACTTACTGTGCCTCTGAGAGCTGGACAGTGAATAAAGACAGAGGAGTCATGGATGCCTCTGCGTTGTGGTGGTGGAGCATCGTACTGAAGATCCTGTGGACTGCACAAAGAATGTGTCAGAGGAAGTGCAGCCGGAGTGCTCCTTGGAGGCAAGGATGGGGAAGCTTCATTCCATACACTTCAGGCCTGTTGTCAGGAAGGGCTCTTCCTTGAAAAGGGCCAGCATGGCTCAGCAGGGTGGAGGATCAGCAAAGGAGAAGACTGTCAGCAGGATGGATTGGCAGCAGTGGCCTGAAGGCTGTTAGCAGTGATGAGGATGGCACAGGACAGAACAGGCTTCTGATATGTACTCGACCACCCCTAACAGCAGTAAAGTTTGTTATGAGGTGAGCTCTAGGCCCAGAGGTGGGCAGTTCGAATCCACCAGCTGCTCTGAGGAAGAAAAGTATTCTCTTCCTGTGTAGTTTATAACTTCTGAAAAACTACTGGAGTGTCAGCGGTGATGTTTTTCTGATGGCACTGAGTTGACTTTGTGCATGCTTGTAATGCATTATCATTGTGGTCTTGATTTGCATTTCCATACCTATTACTTTGGTTGCTGAAAATGAAGCATTTCTTGTAGATCAAAGAATACAGCCTTCAGTATGGCGTACACGATGACATAAAACACATCGAACAAGCAGTTAACTGGAGAAAAGATTGAAGTTGTCAGGAATTTTAGTACTTGCTTTGGCATATACGAAAGTTAGGACGATACAGAGATTAGCCTGGCCCCTCCTAAGGGTGATTTACAAGTTCAAGAAGCATTCCTTATTTTTATAGTGCTGGCAAAACTGGACATCTGCCTGCAGAAAACTGAAACAGGATCCATGTCTCGGTCGATGCACAAAAAGTCAAAGTGGATCAGAGACCTTGGGGAAAACCACAAACCATAAAGAACATCGTGGGGGAAGGGGGAAATAGGAACAAATTTAGAAGCCTAAGATTATGGCATGAATAGACTTGTAAACAGCCAAAAAGGCACAGGGCAGGATAAAATGATGATTGACACCTAACAATCAGATACCTGTGGGCATCAACGGCTTTTTTTTCCAGTAGTTTGAAAAGCCCACAGACTGGATAAAAATACTTGGCATGGCATCTCAGATAAGAGACTAACATTTACAGTGTAAATATATATATTTATTACAGGGCCTACAAAAGAAGAAGACTGATAACCCAGTTACAAAACAGGCAAGAGATAGGGAAAGATCCACCAGGCAGGATATTCAGATGGCAAAAAAAATCCCACACGTAAGGAAATGGGTTTCCTCACCTCTTTCTTGATTTTAAACCACAGAGTGTGCCTGCCCTCTGACTGGACAATGCTCACTTGGTTTGGGTACAGCTTTGTATGAGCTTGATTAAGTTTTCTGGGCATGGTTTCGTTCTGATGTACAAAAGGGTCACTGTGAGAGAGAACTGCTTTGATGACATCTAGGAACACTGTTCATGAAGGTGAGAAGCATGTGTGTGTGTTTACTGGGCATTTGTGTCACTTCCTAGTAGACTTATTTTCTACTTTGCACAGAAATAACTTAGTTGTCAGTATACCAAAAATGAGAAATTGGAAGATAAATTAGGGAAGTAATGCCCTTTCCAGTAATATCTACCAGAATAAAATACCAAAGGATAATTCTGGCCAAGAATGTGAGGGTCTGAGATGATGAAACTCTGCAACACGTGAAAGATTAAGTTTCTATAAATGGTCATGAATTAGAACACTTAACATTGTAAGATGTCAGTATTATTCAAAACATCCATCTTTTCAAAACCAGAAAAACCTATCCTCCACTTTATATGGGTGGGCAGGAAGCCGCCCCAGGTAGTAAAGCAGTGTTGGAGGGAGAAGGAAGATGCACACTTCTTGGTGTAGTGTGTTAGGTGTGGGGCACACACTACTGAGAGATGAGCAGTTCGGATCCACCAGCTGGCTGAGGGAGAAACATAGGGCGTCTCTCTGCATAACGATTTAGAGCCTCCGGAACACAGTGAAGGTTATCATCCTACGTCGGAATCCACACAGCAGTGGGCTTCATTTTCAGTCTAGAGCCACGGTAATCAAGACCACCAGGTACTGACACTATGATACATCAGCCTGTAGAATAGAGAGTCCGACAGGAAACCCACACATCTGTCAACTGATGTGTGAGAAGTGAGTTCATTTGATGGAGGGTAGATTGTTGTTAGCACCGTTGGTTTGAGTATGACTTAAAGCAATGCTTTGAGCAGATCTGAACAGTGTCCTATACTGTGCTGTCCTCATATTTGAGCCCACAGCTGCGGCTGGGAGTATTGGATTCCTCTATGTAGAAAAATGGAGTCCATCCCTCACACCATATTAAAATAGATTAATAACCTAAAATATGACAGTTAAAACCATAACATACTTAGAGGAAGAGGCAAGCACACAGTTCTTCCTGTCCTAACATTTAACAATGGATTATATGTAATAAAAATGTCATAAAAGCACAGACTTTCTAAAATGCCTACGTTTTTTAAAGTAGAACCACAGGAGTTCCACACCTACAGATGGGAAAGCACCTGGACACCGTGTTTATCGCAGCACTACTCAAAATAGACAGAAACAGTCTGAATACCCAGAAGCCGAGAAATGGGTAAACAGGTTGGGATACAGTTGGAGAGATGAAGAGCTTGAAGACATTCAAGTCCTTGAGTGAAATGGTTCAATCACGAAAGAAAAAAATGTTCTAGGAGGACAGAACAAGCAGATGTATATAGACCAGGGTTTATTGATGGTCAGATGGTGGAGAAGATAATGAGTGGCTTCATAATAATAATGGCAAATCACACTGAGCTGAGCTAGGGTTACCAACTATTGCAATTGAAAAATGAATTAGCAAAGTGGTATGATATACTTAGAGCCACAAAAATAAAAGTCCCTGATGGCCTAGAGTTAAGGAGTTGCTCTGAAGTCCTGACTGTAAACAGCTTGAACCCACCAGCCGAAAGATGGCCAGTGTCCTCCAGTGCTATTTACTATGTCTGAAAACCCTCAGGAGAGTCAGTTCTGACTCAGAGACACACATAACGAGACTGCTTAAGTCCATGCAAACATCTCATGGGGTTTGGATGGAGGGTGAGTGCCCTGGGTTCATGGGGTTAACTGGCCTAAGGACCTCTTCAGTGCTTCTGTTCTACCTTCTATTCTTGCCATTCAGTGTCTGTTCTTGTAGTGTCTGTGGTCTAAAGAGTTTGCAAGCAGCAGCCAAGACACAATTAGTCTTTACTGGCAAGGAGAAAGAGAAAGGATTCACGAGTAAGAGGAGGATTTGAAATGTGTCACTTAATGTCGCATTTGCCGTGAGACTAGAATAACTGGATGCTGCCCAGCTATCATCAGTGAGCATTTTGATAAAAGATTCTATAGAAGAATCCTGTTCTTTTTTT